GTCAAACAGTACCTTTCATTAATTTAAAATGATCCGGTTACAATGACATAAACTGCCTTTTTTGCGAGAATTAAATAAACACTTAAGAAGATAGATCCACATCTTTTGGAAAGACATGAAGAGTCATGGACTAAACCATATAGTTTGAAAACTTTCACTTTCGAGCCTAACGCTAAGGCTCGAACCACTTGTAAGGATTCGGATCTCACCGAACTTGTCCTTATGCAATCTTCCAAAGCCGGTGACATAGTCGCACTAGCTTCAGTTCGAGTCACCAATGTTTCAGAATTCTTGGTTTTACACTCATTCCTAAATTGCCAAAACTTGGCACTAGACACCGATATTGCCACTATCAATGACACTAACACAATGTGAAGTAAATGCCTTTCACAACTTAGCTTGATTATGGATTTAAAATCTCCTAAGGAAACACCATGGGCTAAACTCTCTATATTATCCTCAAAAACCAGGCCAATAAACCACCTAAAGTAGAGGAGCTTACGGATTGGACTAGCGGAGGAGACTTCCCGGTAAGACCGTCGGCGAGATTTTGAGCCACCGCCGGAGACGAGATACACGGCGGATATATACTCGGACTTGACTCTATTGTTGTAACGATATTGGAACTTTGACGCACAGCCTGAGCAACTCCCATAGATGCAAAACTCGTGGGCCATGTGCAGAGACAAGGGTCGCTGGATTTTCCTCACCGGCAACCAAAACAACCGGATTTCCTTCACCGACAAGGGAGACGAGCAATCTTCGTGACAGAGCAGGAAAGATAGCAACAACAACAATGGTTTTCTTGTTCTCAGTAGAGAAGGTTTTTCCGCAGAGGTGACCACCGGAGCAACCGGTAGAGTTTCGCTTGAAGAGATCTCAACAGCGGAAGAGCTGGAGGTCCACAACGACGGATAAAGAGCAGGCGGCGGATCTGGAGGCACAGGTGGTTTGGGAGGGTTTGGTGCCACCGGAGATGTCAAACTCAGGAGGTGGAAGACGGAGAGTAAGGATGACGCGGTCNGGTTCACCAGACCCCATGTCGAGAGAGCGAGAGCCGGATATGTAGCCATAGGTTCGGAGTCAAATTTCTGAGAAATAACGAAGGGGAGGATCTCGCCGGCGACAAATCACGATGGAGAAACGATCGGTGATGAACGCCGGTGGTGGAGACGAGCGACTCAGATCTGGTCGGAGGTGTCAGGCTGGAGAAGATTCATTGTCGGAGGCACAACGCGGCGGCTGCAACCTTACCTTGGTTATCGGGTCTTGCTTATATCTTTCATGGTTTTATGAAGCAAAAAATTACTGATTCGATTTTGATTCCGTCACGAAATAGATACTAAACATCTAGCCAATATCAGACTATTTAGTTTTAGTCGAAACTCAGAAATGAATTGTGTCGATGTTACGCGATTGGCTCCTTGTACCATCCGAGAATTGAAGGAACCGATCCGATCCACGGATCACTGGTTGTTTCTCCACTATTCCAAAAACCATCAGTTTTGTAAAGTGCAAACTAGTAACGGGTTGCAATCACATATTTTATGGAGTTAGCTTTATTTAAACCAAGCATACATCCTCTCAATGTAGTTTCTAACATAGGATGTGAAGAACTTTCTATGAAAAAAAATTGTCATTTTCATATGCATCACATTTTCCATGGAAAGACTTGGTACAACTTCTCTTGTAATAAGTAGATTAGATACTAAATCATGTACTAAAATATTTGTCCATGTCAAAACTTTTTTTTTTGTCAACATATCGTAAAAAAGTCTTAAAACAATATGACCCACTTATAGTCTTTTTCTTATATAAAAAAAAACTATACCTTTCCATGTTGTAGCACTTCCAACGATATTATAATTAACCCTAGTACCTAGCGACCTAATCAAAATTTCTTTTGTAACTAACAACTTTGTAATCTTATGATCTTATTGTTAAAACCTTTTTGCTTTTCTTTTTTATTTTACTCCCAATATATATGTTCCTGGTGCATATATAAGTTGAATCTATTCGGGTCTCTTTTGTAAAGGCTTTCATCACAATGAAAACTTTGTACCACTCCGGTAATCTATGTTTCGTAGATGCAGCTTGGAACCCGACCTCACTAACATATGGTATGGGTTGGACTTTGCGTTTCAATATGGATGATTCTTTAGGTGATTCTATTAGCACCGGCCCGAAGGAGTGTTTCGTCACCTTTGTCGGCTGAAATTTGGGCTCTTTCGACAGCCATCGCTCAAGCGGAAGAAAGAGACTTCGAAAAGTTCCATGTTTTCTCTGATTCTTAAGTGTTGATAATTTCCATTTCATTTTCTTTGATTTTCTGCTTCCATTAGTTGATTAGCCAATGTCGTGGCGGATTGGCTTGCCAAACGAGCTCTTCTGGCTCTTGATATTCTTGTTGATGGAACTTGATTATAATCATCTAACGTTTTGACCCAAAAATAAAAAGAAGCTATTTAGGTCTCTTCTTCACCAACATTTCCACTCTTGTTTGCTTCTCTATAATATTTACAAAATCCGTACAATAAGTTAGTTAAGTTTAAAAAAAAAAAAAAAGGATGACATTAGAACAAAAGGTAATGTGAAAAAAAGATGTCACATTGACACATAAATTTGTTATGTATTGGCGTATGATTAATAAATTACTAACTTTTCTGGAAGTCCATTATCCACTTGCAACAATTGATTAAAGAACTCATTGTGGTAGTGTGCCATAAATTATAACTTTGATTATCTGTTCTTTTCCTTAATCATCATGCTCCATTTATACCTTATTTCTTTTTATTTGTTTTGTTGTTTTTGAGGTTGTTTCCTTCAGAACTAGCTATAGTCATATGCAATGCTGTTGGGACCTAACTGATAACATTTAAAACTAATAAGAGAAAGCCAATGGACATAAAATGAAAGAAAAACTTCACCAACTCAATAAAACAAAATAAAAGTAGCTGATAATTATTTTGGTAATCTAAAGCATAACTTATGACTATTGAACCTATATATAATTAGTTTAACCGGCTAGAAATGATGTTCAAGTGTTATCGAATCCGAACTCAATTCCAATGCTTAACTAGAGAGCTTTTTTTTTTTTTGATAAAGTATAACTAGAGAGAATTAATTGATATTAAGATTTGTGAACCAACACATATTATCAAATGTTGGCTTTGTATCTAAGAAAATTACATGCCAGAAAAATCCGAAGTACGAAAAAACACTGAAACATCACCATTGCAAATTCACATATCTTCGATATAAACTCTAGCTAGACGATTTTCAAATGCATTGCAAGGAATTCAACCTAGTTAACCCTCTCTTGTACACCCTCCGGGAAGCAAACCAAGTTGTGTGTCACATCGCGAAACAAGCTCGCAACCTTACCACTTATGATGCTATTGTATCTTTGTCATTAACGGATTGGCTCTAGAGTTATGTAATGGTTGAAAAGCCAACAAACATTTTATACTAGTAATGCATTAAGTTTTCGAGGGAACAAAAAACCACTAGCTAGACTATGTAAAATATTGAGGTCATTGTGTTGAATTTTTGGTGTAAAAAAACCTTTCGTTAGTGATCTCTCGTCAGCAAACCTAACACGTTAGAAGTCATATTTGTTGTAGATCTCAAATCACTTGTACGTACACCATTTTGAATTCTCTATATCAGCTTCAAATTGAGAGCACAAGAGCTTTTACGGACCTTCATAATATATCACTAGATTTTCACATAAAATACTAATGATTTTTTCACTAAGCAAAACATCAAACCGACTTTACTTAAGTAAACAAATCAAAACATCAAACCGACTTTACTTTATAACTAAGTAAACAAAAGCTTCAACTAAATTATTGTAGGGCTTTACCCCGAAGGGATCCCTTCCAGAAATTCTCAAAGGGTCAAGACAAGCTTGACGCCGATAAAGTAAGGAAATAGTTTTCAACCAGCAATAGACGCGCCTCGGTTAGAACCTCATTAGCTGCGTCATTGCCCCAATCGCAAAGATATGAAACAAGTTAGATAGGCTCTTTATTTTATATCCAAGCTTCCCCAATCAACTAGGGCTCATGTAAACGATGTGGGATTATTCATTAATGTATTTCACTCGCTCAATGCCGTTTTAAGCATTTGATATCTAACAACGTGCTGTCTTACAAGTGTATAAACGGCAGGGCTTTTTGAGTGATTGATATTGGCCGGAAGTCTAGGCCCGGTTAAGTGTGTGAGTACTGGTTTTCCTCAATTTGTTCCGTTTAAAATTAGTTCAGTGTGGATTTTGACATTTGTAATTTTTTAATCATATTATGCAGATGAGAAAAAGCTAGCTCAAGTAGTAGTAATTTATGTAAATTCAAACTGGAAAATGCCATGTTTATGATGAAGCTCATGAAATGAGAGAAAATGATCTCCGATATAATACGGAGCACGAGTTTTACGAACCTTCATAATCATACCTAAAATTTTAACTAGAATCAGAGAATCAAAGAGTGTCTCTTGTCTATGACTTATGAGGGAGAGTGTCAAATCATGGATGTGGAGGAAAATAACCAAATTCTAGCTCAAGGATTTCGTACGGTATGGTTCCACCACTTTTCTGTGGTATATGACATATGGTCTCATCTGGGAAAGATATCTGATGTTGTAGTCATCATTGATATGGGCATTTCAAGTAACGGGCAATGGTGGAAGAGGTCTTGATGTCTCATCAAAAGCGACGGCACAAAGTTGCGATACTAAATGATATCGAAGAGGAAATCAGCAGGCTGATCCGTGAGAGAACAATGGCTCCCGATACAGCTCTTTGGCGTTGTGTGGATTGCAATACACAACACCAAAGTACTCGTTCTTGATTTGGGCTGATCATAACCATTGGGTATTTTGTCATCAGGTCGAAGAGTCCAAGAATCATCTGGAAGCTGATACACAAATCATTGGAATGATCTTATTGCTCTTCTCTATGATAAGAGTCTTGGCCGAATA